ACGTGGAAAGTCACCACTCCCGAATGAGTTCGCGCGAGAGAACGTAATCTTTTAGTTTTAAGTCGGTTTGAACAATCTGGATAAGCGCAAGTAAGTACCATTTTGATTAGCCGTCGTACCTACAGTGACTGTGCACTGTGTAAACAATGAGTGACGTATACGCACGAGAGATCACTTCCGGCGCTTGCGTAAACTACGCCAGAGCGCGTACACACCTCACACACCGGATGCCGTGCGCACGCTCAAAGCAGTTGGACATAGTGGTGTATTAGAGGTAAAATATTATATAAATACTGTTCGGTTTCTCGCACAAACCGATCATTTCGTGTCTTAGGACATCAATGTGTCGTCACGAGCCGCAGGGTTTAATTTGGATTTGTCTGTGCATGTTTTTTTTACTCTCATAGATTTTGTTACCATTGCCATGCATTATACGACTGATAGACTGCAACGGCTGGAGTTAAAAATCTCCGTTTGTGTTCTACTGAAGAAACAAAGTCACCTACATCTTGGATGCCCTGGGGGTAAGCAGATAAACATCAAATTTTCATTTTTGGGTGAACTATCCCTTTAAGAAGTTTCGCCTTTCAGTACATTTTTTGTTATTTTGTGTATTTTTGGGCAGCAAATGTGTAAATAAAGAATTATAATTCCCTTATGCAATTGAAAGTTGCATACAATATGAATAAGTCTAAGTGTATGTTTATGTCTATGTTTATCTAGTTTTGATTATTCATGTTTTTCCTCTACAGAATAAGGAATAAGTTTTTGGACCATACAAAGTTCTAAGACACGTGGACTGAGATTCACTGTAATGATGGACATCTGCTCATGGGCAGGTAATGCTTTTAATGTATGACTGTGTGTTGTTGGAAAGTAAATGTGTCAGTTGCCATCATTTTTTTTTTTTAAGGGGTTACACCTTCAAGATTATAGAGGATCTTTTAGTTTTCAGTCTTTAAAGGCAAAAATTTAATTGATGTCCATGTTATCTATTAGTGTTACGGAGATGTATAATACTTTTGTAAAACTGAAAGCTTCATATACAATATAGAGTCTTTGTTTATTCCTGTCTTTACAGAATAAGGGGTGCGTTTGGATTATACAGAGTTCTTGGAAATTTACCACAATGACGGACATCTGCTCATGGACAGGTAATTATAATGTGTGTTGTTTGGTACTGAATGTGTAGGTTACCATCATTTCCTTTTTGAAGGGCAACACCTTTAAAAAGTAAATGATGGTAACCTAAGTAGGTGGGGAAGGGACGGCGAGTGTGAAATTTTATACAGCTTTTGAAAAAAAAATCAGTCTGCCAAAAATATAACCGCTGCTGGACATGGTGCCGGAAGCTCCAGGGGCGAGACCGTACTGGTATCCCCCTCCTTTGGGCGCACCCTTCATTCACACCACACCACTCATTCATATCGCAGAGATCTGGCTGGGATCAAACCAGCAACCTCTGAAACCGTGAGGCAGTGCTCATACCTGTGAGCCACAGATCTCGTCTGGATGTGTGAAGGAACTTATACTTCACTAGTCACCTGTTTGTGAGCTGTGAGTTTCAAATAAAGTATCAGATTAAGGCTGTGGTGTAGTGACTGTGTCCTAATACACCGAGGTGGGATTTGAACCCACAATTTTAGCACAGCCATGTGTGTAACTAACGTGTTTAACCACCTGCGCCAACGTGGCTTTCACAGCAAGAACTGACGTTTGAGGCACTTTGTTGGATATAATGCAACATGTGAAATTTTTTACTTTAACAACAGTGGGATTTGAACTCAGGACTCCTTGATTGAAAAGCAACACTTTATCTACTGAGCCAGTGAGCTCTGGTAGTGGGATATTAAACCAAGAGTTTAAGGCATGAAAGGCAAATAGTTATCATCTGAGCCCAAGATTTCTGAATTTAAAGAGTTAATTTATTTATTTTCGCTGTTTATGTTAAAAAAAATTGCTAAAAGCAATTTCGTATTTGAACACAAGTCCACATGTAAAACAGCTTGTATTCATTTCATATGTGGAACAGTTGAGCTGGACATGGCAAAGCTACTTTTTATATATATATATATATATATATACACACACACACACACATGGGATGGGACATGGGAAGTCTCACATACTTGAGAGTACTGGTTCAAATCCTGCCATTTCTAACATGTTTATATATATTTGAACCAGTACTCTCAAGTATGTGAGACTTCCCATGTCCCATCCCATGTGTGTGTGTATATATATAACACACACTGTTCCACATATGAAATGAATACAAGCTGTTTTACATGTGGACTCGTGGTCAAATACGAAATTGATCTGGCTGGGATCAAACCAGCAACCTCTGAAACCGTGAGGCAGTGCTCATACCTGTGAGCCACAGATCTCGTCTGGATGTGTGAAGGAACTTATACTTCACTAGTCACCTGTTTGTGAGCTGTGAGTTTCAAATAAAGTATCAGATTAAGGCTGTGGTGTAGTGACTGTGTCCTAATACACCGAGGTGGGATTTGAACCCACAACTTTAGCACATCCATGTGTGTAATTAACGTGTTTAACCACCTGCGCCAACGTGGCTTTCACAGCAAGAACTGACGTTTGAGGCACTTTGTTGGATATAATGCAACATGTGAAATTTTTTACTTTAACAACAGTGGGATTTGAACTCAGGACTCCTTGATTGAAAAGCAACACTTTATCTACTGAGCCAGTGAGCTCTGGTAGTGGGATATTAAACCAAGAGTTTAAGGCATGAAAGGCAAACAGTTATCATCTGAGCCCAAGATTTCTGAATTTAAAGAGTTAATTTATTTATTTTCGCTGTTTATGTTAAAAAAAATTGCTAAAAGCAATTTCGTATTTGACCACGAGTCCACATGTAAAACAGCTTGTATTCATTTCATATGTGGAACAGTGTGTGTTATATATATACACACACACATGGGATGGGACATGGGAAGTCTCACATACTTGAGAGTACTGGTTCAAATCCTGCCATTTCTAACATGTTTATATATATTTGAACCAGTACTCTCAAGTATGTGAGACTTCCCATGTGTCCAGCGCACAGTAAATTTAATCATAGGATACAACTGTTTTCTGTTAATACCAAGAAAAACCAGATAACAGCGTTTCTTTCTTTTAGTCCTGCAGATATACTTCATGTCCACAAGGAGGAGCTGTCAAACGTGCCGTTCCTAAACATTGAAGCTTTGCTATAAATGCCGCTTAAATCTGCAAACACCACCACGAATTGTATAATTGTGAGGGGAAAAAACGATAAAAGTCACTTTAGATGAAATATATATATATATATCTATATCGACTTTACCAATAGATAGACCACTCAAAAACAGTCTTGGAAAATATTTTATCCCGCATTTAATTTGTGTTTGTATTTCGGCCATGTGGCTTCCAGCTCAACACATCGGATATTTTACCCCATCAGTCTAGAGCTGATCTGAGTCCATTAACTGCTAGATTCCACGTTTATGATTCGAATGTTCCATGATCCTAAAAAAAAAAAGATACATTTCTTTTAACGTATAAACCCACACATTTGCGTCCTCTCACCACCGACTCTCTTCGACTTTGGCGTCTCGATTAATAAATCCGCTACACTTACTGACCACAAGAGGGAGCCGCTGATCACTTTTTTTCACCTGTCTTATATTCAACGTGATAAATAGGAATTCTGCTTGAGATTGTAAACGTTAAGGTGAGCTAGACGTTTAAGTAATGAGTTAGTGAGCAAACCTGAAGGATTTTTCAGTCTACTGGCGCTATAACAGGACTCGTCTGGTGGAACGGTAACCTGCAGCTTGTCGTCCTCTCCACTAGGGGCGTAAGCGGACTTTGCCTCCGGCGAACTGTGCATCATTGTCAGCATGACACCTGACAGCAGTGTCAACAACTTCAGACCGCTTTAAAGCTATGAAAGTGCAGATTCTGCACATGGCAGCTCAGTGAGAGACGCTTAATGTGACTCAACCGCACATATTTGAAGCCAGCGTTAAACAAAACCATCATATACTGCGATAAAGTGCATGAATGGAGGATGTCACGCGACTCATCTGTAAGTGATTTTACGCATAAAGTGCGCTTCTCTTATAAGGTCACTAGTACTTATGTAGCGTTATTTAAGTTTGTAGTGAAGTATCGTTTTTCTGATATGTCAAAGCAGGTCTTTAATGTGCTTGCTGGAGTATTTGGGTGATGCTGGTCTTGTTTTTGACACGCGCTGTCAATCCTTGAAGTGCTAGTGATTTGACAGCTGAGCATGGATGAAGGTAGGCAGTGAGATCTTTTATGCAGGTTTAACACGGACTTTGTTTGCGTGTTGGCTCTCTTGCTAAATTCCAGTACCTTCAGAACAGCAATTAAATCGATAGTGGTTGCATTGCCGTGATAATTTGAATCTAAGGAGTCGATTCCTATGAAGCTTTATAAAGTGCCATAATAACAGTGTTGTTTATCCGCTGATGTTGTAATGTGGTAAATAGTAGTCTACTCTGTACGTGTTTGTTAATAGAGTCGGTTGGTGACAATTATTAATGCTTCTGACAATATGCTCAGTGTGGGTCACACAAAATATATATTTGTAGGGCAGAAAATGTCTGAATGTAGATTATATATCTTTTTAGTTTTCAGTCTTTTAAGGCAAAACTTTTAACTGATGTCCACGTTATCTATTTTTAAAGTTTATAATGTTATTGTGCATACAGTATAGAGTCTTTGTTTATTTCTGTCTTTACAGAATAAGGGGTGAGTTTGGATTATACAGAGTTCTGGGAAATTTACCACAATGATGGACATCTGCTCATGGACAGGTAATTATAATGTGTGTTGTTTGGTACTGAATGTGTAGGTTACCATCATTTCCTTTTTGAAGGGCAACACCTTTAAAAAGCAAATGATGGTAACCTAAGTAGGTGGGGAAGGGACGGCGAGTGTGAAATTTTATACAGTTTTTGAAAAAAAAAATTCAGTCTGCCAAAAGTATAACCGCTGCTGGACATGGTGCCGGAAGCTCCAGGGGAGAGACCATACTGGTATCCCCCTCCTTTGGGCGCACCCTTCATTCACACCACACCACTCATATCGCAGAGATCTGGCTGGGATCAAACCAGCAACCTCTGAAACCGTGAGGCAGCACTCATACCGGTGAGCCACAGATCTCTTGTCTGGATGTGTGAAGGAACTTATACTTCACTAGTCACCTGTTTGTGAGCTGTGAGTTTCAAATAAAGTATCAGATTAAGGCTGTGGTGTAGTGATTGTGTCCTAACACACCGAGGTAGGATTTGAACCCACAACTTTAGCACATCCATGTGTGTAATTAACGTGTTTAACCACCTGCGCCAACGTGGCTTTCACAGCAAGAACTGACGTTTGAGGCACTTTGTTGGATATAATGCAACATGTGAACTGTTTTACTTTAACAACAGTGGGATTTGAACTCAGGACTCCTTGATTGAACAGCAAGACTTTATCTACTGAGCTACAGAATCTCACTGGTTGTTTGAGTATTTTTTGTTGGGAATATGAATTTTCACAAGTTGTGAAAATATATAACATTACTAATGCTTGGATTTGAACCAAGAGTTTTAGGCACCAAAGGTAAACGATTATCCGCTGAGCCAAGGGTGAGCTTTTTTTGTGTGTGTTTGTTTTTTTAGATATGTTGACCCTAGGGATGTAACGATTAACCGCGAGCCGGTTCGAAAATCGATTCAAATATGTGACGATTCAAATCGATTGAGATGCCAAACAAATCGCGATACAATTGGAGTAGGAGTTTATATGAATGTATCTCTGAGGGGAACTATCTTTAGAAAAGTTTACGTGGCATTTTCTTTTCATCTTGCCTCTGAACAATGCATATTAAAGTAGTGTTCATGAGCGCAGCCGGTAACCCAGGAAACACTGTATCATTGCTGTCCATAAGCGCCACCTGCTGGCAGAGAGTGAATCTGCGTCTCATTCAGGTCGTATGCTCTTTTGTTCAGATGTTTTATGTAGTAAAGTTTCACAAAACTAAAGTCAGACCAATCTGTTTTTGCTTCAGATTTCGAAATCATACTGTCTAATTTAGATTACAATCTAATGCTGCATGTATGCTGCATCTTTGTTTGGATCATTATTAAAATCCAATGGTTGATTCTAATTTTAAATGGAAAGAGCACAGATGAAGCCTTAGTTTGTTCACATTAAGATATTTATTTTATTTGTGTAACTTGTTTGATTTGGGGTTTGTTTTCAAATTTAGTTTTGTTATATTTCAATTTCACAAAGAAACGTGCAGCAATAGCCTAATAAAATGATACCTTTTCATTTACTGTTTAATGTATTAAATCTTATTTTGATCAAATCATATCATCCCTAGTTGACCCAGATTGTTATTAGAACATGTAGTGCTGGGATTTGAACCTAGGACTTTAGCGCATCCATGTGTGCCATTAACATGTGTTTAGCTACCTGCGCCACTGTGGCTTTCACAGCAAGTGCTGGCGTTTGAGACCTTCCAGGAGTTGAAAGTGCCGTGACTTAGATGCTCAAGCAGAAGAAGTCACATAAGCGCCTCTTCTCATCTTCTATGAGACTGATAAGTGTTACAGCTCATTTATTGTATTTATTCAGTGTTTTCTGGCTCGTGTGCTGTTATGATCTTATGGTCAGTTCAGTTGTCATGAAAACAAATTCCTCGTATGTGTAAACATACCTGGCAATAAAAACTCATTCTGATTCTGATTCTGGTGGCTGCTGTTGTAGGTGCAACAGTTCATTTCACAATAGATAAAGCTGTTTAGATGTCTTGAGTTTTATTATGATTTGATGTTACAGATTTATTCATTAAGTACAAGAGTCACTCAAAGAGATGCCAGAACATCAAGTGAGCTCAGAGAGACTTTATTCACACGTGACAGTACATTTCAGTGCCCAGTTTTATTTCTCAAATTAAGAAAGGATTCATAACACCAGTTATGAATTCTTGTCAATACATTTTCAGTATAATGTCAATATCTCAAAATACCTCTGATCAAACTATAATCACTATAATATGTGACCCTGGACCACAAAACCAGTCTAAAGTCGCTGGGGTATATTTGTAGCAATAACCAAAAATAGAATGGCTGTGGAAATCAGTACACCGCTCATTACAAGGAAAGTTTAGGAAACTTTTTGAAACTTCTGTAACAACCAACCGGTGTTTTTTTTTTTAAACGATTTTCACGCGGTTGTTACGACGTTTTAACTACCATGGTGACGCATGTTACAGCGATATGACAGTTATTGGAAGTAAAAGTTAATGGAATAATCCTTGGCCGTTTATCTTTCTCGTCAAGTAGCTTAAAAAGAGTCAAACTGTTCGTGCTGACACGTTCCCTGCGTCTCAATGTTCATGCTATCCATCCTAAATAGTATGTGTGATTAGAATAAGTGTGTCCCAAAGCATAGTATGTTGAAAAGAGTATGCCAAAAGTCCCCGGATGGTCAACTGTTTTGCTACGGTTTCCGGTTTGAACGACATGTTTCCTGGAAACGATGTGCAACGGAGTTTGAGATGTGTTTTCTCTTGTTTGGTCGGTGTGTCAAACATCTCAGCCCAATCAGCAGCAACATGTATATAAACCACGCGGTATTAAAGAGACAGCTCGCACAATGTAATTAACATCCAAATAAATTCACAAGAGCAAGTATATTGTTTGCACATGTTAATTTACATTATAGATCATAACACAGTCTCGGAGGTAAGAAGTGGATTATCCTTCACCTGAAATGTTTGTCTTTTCATCCTGAAATGTGAGGCAAATGTTGGATCACAATAATTAGGAACCGCAGTTTCCACAAATCCCTTACTTTGATTGGGATGTTCTCTTTTATTCTGGAGGGCAAGGGCAGTGACTGTAACATCGAGCGTATTTTGCAGTATTAAACACATATTTATACCGATTTCATCAGGCTCCGAAAATTCTTCAAAAAGAACACAAAGAATGGCCTTCTCAGCTGCCATAGTTGCAACTCTTGCGTCATCAGAACAGGGTGTTCAACGCACCACCGTTTCAGTTTAAAAAACGTTTTGCACCGTTTTTGTCTGGGCTGAACGCAGCCCGGGTCTCGTTCAAGTGTTTTGCATATGCTTAGTTAAATATGAAGCAGTTTTACTCAAGATGCCTTCAAAGTAGATACCAATGATGATCATAACCAATGTCCATCACATATGCGGACTGATATATAAAAGTTTTTTTTTATTATTATTATTTTCACATTTAGATATAAAAATGTAATAAAACGTCAACAATAAAAACAGCTAGCTAGTTTAACTGATTATTTTAAAAGTCCATAGATATCGCTATTATTTAATATGGTTGTTAACACGTTCTCCGACAAGCGGAAGCAATGAGACCTGTTTTCCCGGTTTGGTCAGGTGATGTTCGACACAATGGCCATGTTTGAATAAAGGTATATTTTCAGCCGTTTCTGCAGGACAGTTCTTTTAATCAAGGTTTATGTGCAGCTTGTTTTATTCTGAAGCAGCTCAAATATGTTTATAACAGGTGTTTGTGCAGTTCAGCTGCTGGTGGGGCATCCATGGCAGAGGAACCTTTAGTCACCACGGGGAATAACTTCCCATTGGATTACAGACATGAGCAAGATGTTACATGTTCCAGACGGGACTCTCATGGGCGCTTTGTGAACCCTTGGACGACATGGCAGTTCCCCTCCCACAGCACCATCGCTCGCAACAGAACAACAGTAATGTTCCCAGTGCCAAAGAGGTGAACACACACACACACACACACACACACTTGTATTGTGTCAGGCTTCACTGCTGCGGCTACGTATCCATGCCTCTCTGAGGAAGAGTCTTGGCTGTAGAAGCATTTAGACACGAGACGACAATAAGGCCAATAAACGATAACTGTGACTTTATCAACATGCAATATCGTGGATGATGAAAGACGAGACTAAAATGTATTTTAAAAAATAAAAACTATACCAAAATCGTTTTTTATTTTCGTCGAAAAAAGGAGACAAAATATTATTGCGGACTGCTGTAGCCTACATACATACTACCCAATCTTTCATGTGTGCTGTGGCCAGATATCAAGAGTTAAAATCCTCAAATCAGAGCTTTTCTGTTAAAAGGATACGTTTCTTCCCAGTGTTTTGCTTAATTTTTCCCATCTAGCAACAATGCGCACGCGCTCGTTCGACATTACAGAAGTGCCGACGATGATCTGAAAACGCAGACAAACAAGAAATCTGGAGTTTAGCGATCTTCATGAGAGATGTTTAGTTTAAATCTTTCAGCCAGTCTGTCTTCTGTCATGAGATCTTGACTATTTTGTTTGTGATTGTGGTTGCTGAATAAATGCACTTACTCACCACTGTTGTTTTAATATAGAAACATTATTGCAATTTGGAATTTCACTGTTAAATTATTTTTAGTTTGTTTTTACCAGTTTTTATAATGTAGAGAGAGTGCATATCTAAGTCTTTAATATTAATTTATATAATAAATAGCTTATAATAAATCAGTACACTAGATGAGGTAAAAATAAACCATGTCTATGTGTCCACATGATTTGTGCTTATTGGTGAAAGTTCAATATACCTGAAATGTAAAAATAAATTTCTCAAATGACAAAAAACATTGCGATTATAATTACATCAATCAATCAAACTCGGGTTTGGAACAAGCAATCGTGAAAGCACCCTAAGACTGGTGTGTTCACACTTGCCACGTTTGGTTCGTTTAAAACTAACTCTGGTGCGATTGCTCTGATAGTGCGGTTCATTTGAGTAAGTGTGAACGCTGCCATCCGAACCCTGGTGCACACCAAACAAGCGGACTGAGACCGCTTTAAAAGGTGGGTCTTTTAAAAAGGTGGAACTCTGGTGCGGTTCGAATGAAATATGAACGTTAACACGGACCAAAGACAGGACATGATGTCACAAGATGCGACCCTAAAAAGGACAGAATGCTCAAGCCTACCTGTTTTTTCTAGTCATATAGTTGCGATGTTGCCCATCAAAGTTCGGTACAGGCATCAGAACCCCCGTCTCCTCGTAGCTTCGTCTCTGTGTGTGACGAAGGGATTCCTGCCGCTGTTTTGACTCCTTTACACATTTGAGCTCTTCACGAGTTCTCAAAAGCATTTAGCCCAACACAAAGCATTGTTTTGGATGTTCGGTCACAAAATCGATGTCATAAAAGCCGACCAATCAGGTTGTGAACGTATTCCTATGCCTTTAGGTTCTGTATCTTTAGGTTCAGTGTTAAAAAGCCAATGTGAATGCTAAGTGGACCAGGACTAAAAGGTTTTATTTTTATTTTTTTGGTCCGGACCAAATTAAACCAAGTGAACTGAACTACAAGTGTGAACACACCCAAAAAAGACGAAAAGGCATGCTGGCAATTTTCCGGGATCTGCGCACTGTGTGAAAGGGGCTTAAGACTAAGACTAAATTAAAAATGACTGACAAAATTAGCACTATTTTCAAGAGGGTTTTTTGAAAAAAATTATAAGTTACAGTAGAAAACAGTTAATTTAAGCTGTAATTATATTTCACAGTATTACTGTTTTGCGGTATTTTTGGACAAATAATTGCTGTCTTGATGAGCACAAGAGACTTCTTTCAAAAATATGTAAAAAAAAAAAAAATTTTTAAAACCTTACCAAAAGAGTAATGTGTGTATATGTTGTTCCGTTCTGTTTGTTTCTCTCTCAGCATTATCTTGACCCTCCAGCACGTTTGCATGAGGCTATGGTGAATCATGGACTGAATCCAGATCTGTTCTTTACACTTCATCACGGAGAGTCACAGCTGATCGACAACGAGGACACGCACTCGTCCAGCTAAACAGAAACCCAGGAAGTATGCAGACACGCATTATGATCTACATAGGCTGCGATTCTATAAATTATTTTACAGCTGCAGATTGTGCTGATCCAGTGGCTGGACTCTGGATTTTAATGTTAAAAAATCTATTCGATTTCTATTTTGATTTAATATAATCTGCCATTTACAATATCATGATGTGACCATAATAAAACAACACCTGAATTGAAATTGTGTATCTAGAACAGGGTTCCTCAAATCTTGCCCTGGAGGGCCAATGCGCTGCAGAGTTTAGCTCCAACCCTGATCAAAGTCACCTACCTGTGATTTTCTAATGATCCCGAAGACATTGATTAGCATGCTCAGGTGTGTTTTATTAGGGTTAGAGCTAAACTCTGCAGGAAAGTGGATCTCATGGGCCAGATTTGTGGATCCCTGATCTAGAAGCTCTGCTAGTTGGAAGAACGTTGGTCAGGTGAGATATTACCCGAGGACCTTGTTGTAAATCCTTCATAGGATGCAGAAGAACCAAACCTTAGGAAATTCACTTTATTTGCAATTGTTTAATAACATCATTCCTCAGATAAAAATGCAATATTACAGGAATATACAGCAGAGATTAATTTAAAACTTCCTGTCAAGAACCATACAATCTAAAGATATTTTTTAGTTTTTATTTACTGGTAGCGTGCGTTATAAGCAAGACACACTCTGTCACCAAAGACAGACTGACAGATACAGATACAAACTGTACAATCACTTATTTACAAATCCAATTTTTTTGTTGCTTTTTTCGTTTCACTTTTTTTTGAAAATAGGAGTAGAAAAAGTGATTGAATCTTCAGATTTACGTAGCATATTCTTTTTAAAATCTAAATGAACAAATGAAAGAATGATGAAATGAAACAAAAGACTCTCAGCAAAAGTAGAGGAGGGAATGACAGACCATGCAGACGTCTCACAGTTTTCAATAACACCTGGGGTCTAAACTCCATTAAATAGTCCAAAATGTGAATGACCTCTGACGGTGTTTCGTGAGAGACCTGAATGGTCAGCACTGATGCCTTCGAATTCTACCAAAAGCATGACACGCGTCTAATTTGAATTCAGCTCGTTAATCTAACAAACAGCTGAGGACCTCAAGACTACACTTCCCATCCGCACCGTCAATCAAGACTACAGAAGCTGCTCGTGTGGTCACCGAAAATAAAGCAACTGAGACGATCCGCTCAAAGATTCCTCCCTTTGTGAGTCTTAAGCTATTAAACGTAAACCAAATCACATCCGACCGCAGGAAAATAGTGTAATGCAGATTTGGGCTTCAGCCTCTATAACAGAAAGAATTGTGGGCTGCATCTGTAGATGAGTGAGTAGTCCTGCCACCCATTAGAGAAAAAGGGACCCAACAATTCAAGCCCAGAGCTCGGCGCCATCAAACAGAGCATTACTTCCATCTCTGCAGAAAGAAAGCAGGATGTGGTAAAGAACAAGTTGTTAAAAGGTTCACTCATACGTGGAGATTTGTGCAATATTAACTCTTTGAGCTCCTCATCATAATCGTTACCGTTCGGCCCATCTCCTGTCTCTAGTGCTACATTCGCTGGGTGGAACTAGAAGCGGGGAAATGCCACTCGAAAACCTCAAATTGGTTCATATAAATTGTTTTGCATTCACCTACCCACTGAACAAATCTGCATTAATTATCGTCCCACCTATTGAAATGAAACTATGGCAAGATTGACGTTTTGAGCTTAGGGCGAAATTAGTATTTACATGACAGCTAAAATCTATGCATAAATTCATCCTTTACTTGGATTATGTGTACGATGTGTCAAACTAAACGTGGTTTAAATGTGCAAATTGGGATTATTGCATCACCACCTTAGCTTTTAGTTTATCATTAAAACTCATTAACGCACTACATTAACTTATAATATCAAATTAACAGTCATATAAAGGAGGACATTAGAGATACGTGCTACACAAAGGTTAAACCAGAGGGCAGACATTGCACATGTCCAGGCTTTCTCTGGGTCAAAGGTCAACCCCACAGCACGTTCCTTCAGTCTGACATGTGCAGAATTGGCATACGAACACGCATGAACCCAGAAACACCGGACGGCCCGAACGGATACTTGAACTACAGACGTCCTTAATAAATCCACTAGCATTTTGTGTTCGTGCATTACTGGGTTCATCCAAATCAAACAAACAAGACAACACCCTAAAGATAAAAAAACCCCAAAAAACTGCGTTTTACTGTAATGTGTTGTGAACTTGAATGGTTGTAACAATGCTGCTCATTTGCTATGGATAGTTTACTCTTTTCTGAGGGTATTATATTTCCAAAAATATTAAGCATTTAAATGCATACATAAAACCATTTCTTTCAATATAAGCTTTTCTATTGGGGAAACTTGTGCGCTACTGCTACAGATGGCAAACCGAAATACAAGCCACAATCAATCAAAGTCCATCAGGAGAGCAACCTACACTTCCCCTGCTGAAATGTCATCCATTACGTCACCGACATTCCCTCCAACCAGTGCGAAATAACTTCCATCTGATAAATATTTCTCCTATATTAAAATATATAAAATAACTTCTGATTCTCTGAGAGAAGAAAAGCTACATTACAACCATTTGGGCAAAAACCTCACTGAGCAACTAATAAAATATTCAGTCAAATATTTGGTACATTTCCCCAAGGCCTGAGCAGACAGCTCTCTGTGTTCATTCATTAGCAGTTTCATTCAACACAGGCGCTGCTTTTGTGTCATGAAAGCTTGTGGCTTTTCCACACTGTTCTATCATGTGCAGGGTGCTCGGAGGGGAATGTGATGTGTTGATCTGAATAAAGCAGCTGTGAAAAAGCCCTCGGATTCAAAATCACATGATTAATCTCATTGCACTCCTCCCTCAGTAAAA